CCGGAATTGAATGATGTGAAATTGGGTGGGTGCAGCGATTCCGGAATGTGTAACTTTTGGGAATAGGAAGCATTCTCAAAAGACTGTCGATGTCATCTCCTCTAAGTACATCGTTATTGTTCGTGCAACAGATATTTACACATTATGGTTATCCAGTGATGCTTACTTTTGGCAACTTGAGAAATCTACTTAGCATTTTTCTGTTTCTCAGAAAAAAATTACGTAATACTTCTTGCAATATTTGTGAGTAGAATTACTACTAACGAAGAATATTGATGATAAATGAATTATTTAGATTTTCTAGTCTCTGCTTTTACAAATTTGGTAGCAATCAATGTAGGGATTATTTCAATAGTCTACGTATACGATCGGCCATCAGCTTCAACAACAACATATTGTAAGACTCGAAGTTATATATTGAATATATCTCAACAAATGTCTCGATTTTTAATTGTTGCTGCTTGTTTTGATCGTTTCGCTCTCTGCTCAAATAGTGTCCGTCTTCGAAAGATTTGTCAAGTGCGTATTGCTTGTCGATACATTATACCAGGCGTTATTCTTGTCTGGCTTATTATACCATTACATATACCCATCTTTTATACGACTTTAGGAAATACTTGTGTATTTCCAGGCGCAGCAGCACTCTACAATAGTATCTATGGTATTGTTATGGCTAGTTTCTTACCACCTGGACTTATGCTTATTTTTTCTCTACTCATATTTCATAATCTTAAAATGAGACAAAGACGACGACAACGAATTCGTCCTATATCGATCATTGCTTCTACAGCAATAGGAATTCGACGACAACAAGCAAAAGATCAACAAGTCTTAGCAATGTTATTGATTCAAGTGTTTGTCTATGTGAGTTTAACAATTTTCTATACAGTCAATTTATTATATTCTGCTTTGACAATGAACTATGCAGCAAATAAATCGAGTGAACGGAAAACAATCGAAGGCTTTGCTACATTTTGTGCTGGGATACTTATCACGGCATGTCCATGTTTATCGTTCTATTTATTTATATTAGCTTCTCGTCTATTTCGAAAAGAACTCAAATTGATGGTACTTCATGCTTGTGGTAGATGGGTGCATTACCCACGGATCATAAACAACAACAGTAATTTGACACATAGAGTCATCACCCGATTCGAACTTATGCAGCGCCAAATTGCACCACCACCACCACCTATTCCTTCTATTCATTAATTGAGAGTTTTAAATAAAAAAGAAACTTTTATTTCGTCGCACTATCTTGAGGATGTGAATGTGAATAGGCTTCATTCACACCCAGAAAAGGTTAATTAAAACAATTTATTAAGAAAAATACAGCATCAGTAAAAAAAATGAATTAACTGTTTATCAAATTAACATATACAATTAAAAACATGTAATATAAATCATTAAAATAGAAACTGTCATATTAAGTTGAAGGTGTGGGTGGATGGAAGATGATTACAATATTCACCGACCCACACCCATACTTTCTTACAAAACTCTATTTTTTGAATGTAGAAAAAAAGTATTAGAAGATTTTATTTTCTCTTGGTTAAAAAACCTTCAGTCTTCTGCTTAAAATCAAAATCAGCAAGATTATATATAGAAGTATAAAAACACTTGTATCACTAGTGCTAAAACTAGTTCTTTTACGGTAGTTCATAAACCGGAACACAGTTCGGTGCTGTTGGACATGATTGACACGTTCCTTGATATTCTTGAGGAAGTTGATTGCTATCAATATGCTGCAGAAGTATAGTTGCTTCTTCATTTGTTTTCAAAACGAAAACTTTTGAAGCTGTTACTGGATCAACAAAACTCTTACACATATTCCAGAGAACTGGAAAAAATCGTGGTGTATTCAATAAAAAGGCTTGACCCATTCGCTCAGGATAATGATTATTATCTATGTTAAGAATTTGTTTTAAAAGTGGAAGAGCTCGTCGTCCAGTCATCAATTCCAATCCATCAAAATCCATAATTGTAACGATTGTCTCAACATGTTGTCCACATTCACGCGATTTCTGACGTGCACGACGGCAGTTAAATTCTTGTAAGTAGATATGTCCTTTGACAAGTTGATCAAGTGAGAAACGTTCGAGACATTTGTTGAGTTTGACTCTACCTAGAAAATGAAGAGGAAAACATTGTTCACTTTTTGAAAATATTCTCCACATTTCTTCAATAAACTAAAAAATCTAATGTCTCAAGGAAGAATTTCAGTATACAGATCGCCAATAATTCTCAATGACTACATGAAGATATTGTCCTTGATTGGTGTCGCGATTTTTACCTGTTTTTTCAATGTAAATTGGACTATGCTGTCGTGTAAAACCATGATTTGCATAGGGTGCATATTGTTTTGAAAGATCTATATCGTCCTGTGGTGTGTCTAATAGAATTCGATCAACATTATTTTCCTGACGCCATTGAATTGTATCACGTATCGATTTCAATGTATGAGTAACATTCCATTTTCGCCCGCGTAAATACCGATGGATCATAAACTTCCATTCATGTTCTTCCTCGTTCAAATAATCATTTTTAGAAAGATAATTCTCAGTTGGATCTGGAAGATTTAATTTATTCAATTTATAATCGAGATAACTCGTGTAATCGTTTTGCAGCTGCTGGTGGACAGCATGAAATTTTTCTTGTTGGTCAGCTGTCAGTATTTCTATTTTGAAGTCAGTCATTGCCTTGGATTTTTTCTGAAAAGTTCGTAGACATTCAGATTCTTCTTTTTCTTCTTCGTACTTACTATTGTTTCTTACGAATAGATATAAAAAAAAAATAAAAACGTGTTCGTTAGATAAGTTATAGGCCGTGATATACAAAAAAAATAACTACAGAAAGGAAAGGAAAGGAAAAAAATGATATTTATTTTTCAGGTGTAGTTTCTTTTTTACACTAAACACGTGGCAAAGTCTACTTATTTTTCTTTCATTAGCTTACTACAGTAAAAAACGTTTAATTCACGGATGCCTGTCTGTATATTTTCTTAATAACTTTGTCAGATTTTGCCAGTTTAGACTAAATTAGTTGAAGATAAAAGCATCATCGTGTTTTAATAGAAAGATAATTAATCAATTAAAGAGCTTTTATAGAAATAAAATAAATGCATGTGCTTTTTATCAATATGTAAAAGCTAATCAATTTCTGTATAGACTGAAAAATAAATTATTAAAGCTGATCTAATCATTTTTTATTGATTTATCTAGTATTGTTCTGCTAAAATAATTTTGTAGTTAAGAACATAAAATGTAAGAGATAGGTTAAAGGTGAAGAGATGTTTTTTTTTTCTAACGGACTTAACTTTATGAATAATATATTAGATTTCATTGATAAGATATTCCTATTTTGATTATCGTTGAGAAAATCCGTTATATACAAGATAATAAATGCATTTAGTAAAAATACAAAAAACAAAATTGTCGCTACAATAATATAAAAGACACCTTTTATGTTTCAATTTGTTATTTGATGCATTTACTTATTTTCTTTTGTTCGCAGATAACACGACTTTCATATTAAAATTTTGTTCAAAGACAACCATTATTATCGGTAATGAGTAGAAAGTATATAATTCTATTCTTGTAATCGGCATAATTAACAAAATTAATGAGTTAAATATGCACGCGTTAAGAATAAAATATGATATCTATTCATTTTGATAAAGAATATCATTGTTGTTTGTCATAATGTCATCGACATATACTTTTGCTGGAAAACAAGTAATAATCTATTGTGGAATACCAGTTTTTGCTGCTGGTGTATTAGGATGTTCTCTTAATATGCTTGTATTTCTTAGTCTCAAAACATTTCGAGAAAGTTCCTGTGTATTCTATTTGACTGTTATGTCTATGGTGAATATAGGAACATTATTTTTGGGTTTTTTTCCACGTATTATGGTCTCTCTATTTTCTACAGATGGAACAGAAATATCATTATTTTATTGTAAAGCACGATTATATTTTTCTCAAATATTTATTGGAACATCATTATCATGTTATTGTTTGGCAACGATTGATCAATATTTTGCTACATGTACTCGTCTTCAATGGCAATTATGGTGTAATATTAAATTAGCAATACGTATAATCATTATAACTGTAATTATTTGGATTCTTCATGGTATTCCATACGTAGTTTTCTATGATCATGTTGTATCATCTACAACAAATCAAACAACTTGTATCAATACAAACTATATTTTTGATCGATATCGTGCTTTTGTTACTCTTCTTTTACTGATTGGATATTTTCCTATTATGATTGCAGCATTGTTTGGATCGATGGCCCTTCGTAATGTACAACAATTAGCTTTTCGTACAGTACCACTTATTCGACGAGAATTAGATAAACAATTAACTAATATGGTATTACTTCAAGTTGTTGTTAGTATTTTTACTCTTTTACCATATACAACTGTTAGTGCTGTTGCAACAAGTACAAGTACCATCAATGATCCAGTTTATCAAGGAAAAATTCAATTTGCTGTAACTGTTACATTTGTCTTTTATTATATATCTTTTGCAGTGAGTATTAAACAATTCTAATTGATGTTTTTACTTAATTTTATTATCATTTTAGAGTCCATTCTACATTTATTTTTGTGCATCTGGTCGATTTCGTCGACAATTAAAATATGTCTTGTTTGATATTCATCTAAGTAGAATCTTTCCCAATCAAATAGAACCACAAATGACATTGAATGTTCAGTAACGTTTGCTCATTGTTTTTGTTGTTATCGTTTGTGAATTTTTTTTTGTATATTATCATATATCAGCAATCAATAAATACTCATCTATACTAAAGTTTTATCGTAATCTCGATGTCCTTTCATTGAAAATGAATCATTTATTTTTTTGAGTAACAGTAATAGTATTAACACAGCAAATTAGAGTTTCAGTTGTATATTAATCAAGTCAAAACGTTTTCAATTCTTTTTGTACAAGAGTTTATATATGGTAATTTTGAAAAAGTTGTATTTTATATTGATTCTAAGGAATAAGAGTAAATAAAATACACTCACATTCTCAACATTAGTTGGTCATTATAATACTTAGAAGTAAACGATGTAGTCAGTATGACGCATTTTTATAAGTTCATTTAGTATACGATAAAGGATATTTTTGTCAATGATTCATTGTCGATCTATTCAATGCATCCGTTTACTAATGGATTTAGTTTAGTTATAATTATAATGGATATATTGAGGCTTAAAAACAACACATGATAATGTCGGATACCTTTTAAAAAGTATAATTACGATAAAAATACATTTTAATCATCCGTATATAAAGCGTCCTATACTTTATTTATGAGAGATTATCAATTAATCATTTATTTTCGTTATAGAACAAGTAACTACTTATATGAGTGGGTGGGTGTGGGTAGTTTTTATATGAGACGAATGTTAACAATGAATCTGATTGACCGAGGTTGGGTATGAGTATATTCTGCTCTCACCCTCGATATTATTTATTCATGGTTAAATAATACGTATACAACATCTAATCATTAACAGAAATTATATTCTCAACTAGATTTATTATGTGGGTCTAACATCATTCCGTATGACATATCCAGAGCAAAATAATTTCCAAATCCATTTATTAAATTCAGGTAATAATCTGCAACATACCCAAGGTAAACTGAGACAAACGATGTATATAAGATCAAGAAGATAATCTAATTGAATCTGAGCTAAGAAATTTGGAGAGATTATTCGTTGACCAACACCACTTATAAGATTAGGAATCCATCCAATCATATAGACACTAGAAATAGCAAGTAACTGTAATGCCATACGTCGTTGTTTCTTCCAGGAAATGAGTTGTTGTCGATGACGCTTTTGTTGTATCACTCGAAACACAAGTACTACATTAGCTAGAAAGATAATAATACTCGGCAGACCATTGTTTATTACCCAAGCAAACGAAGAAAGCATTTTATTATACAAAAGATAACAATTTGCATAGCCACATAAATTCGATGAAAAAACCCATTGAGTACCATCACATGGATAAAATACAATAATAATCAAATAAAATATAGGTGGATAGATCAAACAGAACAATAGAGGAAAATAATATATTACATAACGTTTTAAACGAATATTTAACAGACGTGGTTGAAATACAAATATATGCCTTTGAATAGAAATAACAGCCATAAGAAGTTCACTTATTAAATTAAGACTGTATTCAAAGTATGTCCACTATGTACAATAAACTGCTGTTGGTGGAATAACATAACTATTATGATAGAAGTAAATAGGCATTGGTAGATCAGCTGATAAAGCTACAAAATTAACTGTCAGTAAAAGCAATAATGCTTGATTTTGTTGATTATACACTAAAGCACGATTAGAGGGCTGCAGGGCAAGACATTTTAGCAACCTGTACCCTGCCCTTCTCAGATTTTGACAACCTGCAACCCGCCCTGCCCTGTAAATTTTTCGCGCACCCTGCCCTGCCCTGCCCTGTAAAAATTTTTGTAACCTTTAACCTGCCCTGCCCTGCTATACTTTATAAAAACTCTAAACTTTCATATTAATTTGTTATACAATTTTATTTAATCCATTACAAATCATAGAGTAAATAAATAAACAAAAACAAAATCACATATCTCGAAAATTTCAAATCATTAACATATCATCTATAACATTTGAACTTAATGTTCTGTATAATTTTATAAAATATGTCGTTAGTATTTAATGTGAAAAATTTATCACAGGTTGACAGGTTGCGACACTCGCATCCTGCAACCTGCCCTAGTCGAACATCTTATAAGCAAGATCTTGGCCAAGATCTTAGGAACAGATAAGTGAACAGATCTTGAAAAAATAGGTACAGATAATTTGATTATCTTGTACACAAGATCTGTGACTAGATCTTAGGTACAGATTGTTAAGATCTTATGTACACGTTGTTAAGATCTTATGTACACGTTGTTAATATCTTATGTATAGCCTGTTAAGATCTTGGTAACAGATATTTGAAATCTTGAGCATAAGATCTTGTAATGAATGATATTTTCGTTTTACCTCGGCAAGATCTTCAGATCTTGTACTAATATATTTAAATTTAAGACCTACATGAACATACAATAACACACGTGAACATCAAATGCAATTACAAACTTCAGAAAAAAACTTAATAAAATATAAACACCATAACAACTGTTTTTAATTCACAATCATCTGTATAAACACAAATCATTCAGAAGTACACGAAATACAAGATAAAAAATAATAAAAATAAATTTGAATCAGCTTCATCATATAATTCAGCATCAGACGATGATGATGAAAATGAAACGGCTTGATCAATAGTAACAACGGCATCGTTATCTAAAATATCGCCAGCTACTGGATTCAGTGAATTAGAGATGTCCATAAGATCATCATCTTCGTCTTCATTATTTCGAAGCATCCTAAATACTTCACTTTCATTGCGTGCCAAGCGGTATTAACGCGTACATTATCTTGTTCGTTGAGTCGTACTTTTCGAACAAAATTTATTGTTTATATCTAAAATTAATAATATGCAGAAATAAAATTAAACTAAAACGAGTAAACAACAGTAACTAATTATTTTAAAACAAATGACATACATGTCTAAAAATGCGTAGCTTATTTCAACAACTCGATATATTAGCATAGATTGATAATGTACATGTTAATCGAATTGATCATTTTTTTTAGTATTAAAATTGACGCAAGTAAACTTCAGTAAATTTCTAAAAAACAAATATAATTATTCAAAAATTATTTCATAAAAACTTCTAATTTAAGTCTCTTCATTCTCATCATTGTCATAAAAAAATTTCATTTTTACAATTGCAAAATATTTCGTTCGTCGAAAAAAATCATGATTAATATATTTAAGAAGAACCAATATATCATCATTAATCGATACATAATTATTTAAATAAGCTTTTTCATGCTTATATGAGATAAAGACTTGGCCGTTATAACGTTTGTTATCTTTATGTTCATTCTTTGTTTTTATTGGTTCATATGTATGAGGACTGTAAAAAAGCTTTTCTTATTTTTTTTTTCTGTTCTGTTATGATTTATGAATATTTTTAATAAAATAATTCAAATATATGAATTATTTTTTTCTATTAATGATGTCGCTTTAGTTTATTCAAGATCTTGGTGCAAGATAATTACAGTTTAACTTTTGTCCAGTCTTCTGACAATTTTGATATCTTGAGTAAAGATCTTGATAAGATCTGTGATACAAGATAATTACAATTTAACTTTTCTTCATGTCTTTTGAAAAGCTTGATATCTTGAGGAAAGATCTTAATAAGATCTGTGTTACAGATTCGTAAGATATGATCAAGATATACTTTATCGAAAAAAAGAAATTATCTTTTTAAGATCTTGGCAAGATCTTACTTACGAATTCCAAGTTTTCCAGATCTTACTTACAAGATGTTCGACTAGGGTGCCCTGTAAAAATTTTCGTAACCTTGCCCTGCCCTGCCCTGCGACCAGCTTAACCTGCCCTGTCCTGCCCTGGCCGGGCAGGGCAGGGCAGGGCAGGTTAGCTCAACCTGCAGGGCTCTAAGCACGATGTTTTAAGAAAAAAACAAAAATAAACAGACTTATTATAATTGCCGTAATCTGAAATGTGAGTAAAATAACGAATTTAATTCGATGTAAACTAATTTTGTCTTCTTGTATTTTAAACGGTTCTACGTTACTTGTATTCATGGATGTCGACGTTTGTATGATTTACAAAAAATGAAATGCTTCTTCCTGTCTTTTGTTTCAACTGAACTTTTGTGAGAGAAAAATAAAAATACTCTCCATGAAACTTTGATTTGAATACATATAATTACATTTCATATTCTTATGTCTGAGAACGATGATATAAGGATACTTTATGTCATTCTTATAATTAGGTTCATCAAAAGATTAAAAAGTGACAACTTCAGACTGCTTCTTAATATAGAATGATAAATAAAAAGAAAATATTTGTCGATAGCACGTGTTAAAAAATGTTATCTAGTTGCATATTTCAGAAAGACAATATGAAAACTTAAAAAAATTTCAATCAATACAACATTGATTATATAAACTGGTAGAGTAACGAAAATTCATGATTTTTATTAACAAATTTATATAGATACGAGTAATATAGATATCTACTCATTCTTCTCGATATTGAAATTCATAAGAAAATAATAATCGTGTTATAATTAGATATAGAAACGTTCTTTTCTATGATGTCTTCTTCAATGGCATATAATCTTATTCTTTAATGTTTATCAAGTGTGCGTAAGTCAGATGATGTGTTTTCTATTTTATTGAATAAAACAAATGAATATTTTCATTATTGTTATTATTATTATTAAAATATATAAGAAAAAAAATGAACAATATTTAAATAATGCCACATTCTTCGAGAGCACAGCAGAAACATAAACATGCCAAACTAAAATAGAAATAAAGAGATATAATTATGAGAATGTTTTTATTTAAAACTTACATATCAAAAATTGCACCACCACCTCGTAATCCTTTTGGAAAATTTTCTCGTGATGATGGAGATTCTTCAGTATTTAAAGTATCATTGTTTGATATTGATCTTTCTATTTAAAAGAAAAAATAACGAAATAAGATATTTGCAATTTCCATTATAGGTAATGTAATAAATTTCGAATGTTTATATTAAAAGAAACAGTAAATAAAAGTCAAGTAAGACTAGGATCACATACATCAATTAGAATATAATACAAAAAGAAAAATATATAACTAACCTGTAGAATTTTCTACGATATTTGATATTGTTCTAATAATAGATGATCATACATATAATATAAATTAAAGTTTTATTTCGATACTCACGAAAGCGATGGTTGTTGTTGTTGAACGATTGAAGCCATGGTTTAGTTATGTTTATAATAAAATAATATATCCGTTATTACCTCTTTGTATATATATATATATATATAATATTTAATGAATCGGGCGTATCACTTTCTTCTGTTACTAACCAGATGCATGATATAATTTGTTTTTATATTGTAAAATATATACCTATTCACATCGATCGCTTTATGTAGAAGAATACTTTTATCACAAGGACAATAGTTGTATATACAAGTGAAAACAAAACACGTGATAATTAGTCACCAATTTTTACTGACATAATAGAAAAACAGATAGTAGAAATCAACAATAATAAGATATAAATGTACTGTTCATTGTAACAGTAAATTGCTACAATAACGCACTAATGTGTTTTTATTCTATTGGTGATAGATAAAATATAAATTGTCGATTAAATGATATGATCAATTGATATTTATTCATCTATGTATTTTTTATAATTAGTAAATTTACGTCCAATAAGTAATATGATGTTGAGTATTACATACATAAAATGTATATTATAATCGTAAAGTCTTATCGAATAAGCTCCATCAAAGTTAATGGAAAATAAAGAATATATTTATTTGATTTGAGACTGAAGAGATTAAATATATTTGCAGAATGAACTGAATTAGATGTGACCTCTATTGAAATTTGAAGTCAAATTATTTTTTCTTCTATTTCTCACAGAACTATTGGTGTCTAAAAATATTTATACGCATTTTATTTTGCATATATAGATCAGTATAGAGTAATGAGCAAAATTCACAATTTTTTCTCAAGGATGTTTAGATAAAAGCTCTGCTGATATATTCTAATGCTTTTTCCAATACTTAAATAAAATAATAATACATTAGTGGTACTTATCATTAAAGAATGCATTATATCCATTTAAAAAAATATTCAGTGTTATATTACGCTTTTAACTCGAAGTATATGTAATTTAGCGATCTCTTCGTAAGAACTCATTATCATACTTCATATGTTGAGATGTATTATTAATGTGTTATTGTTTGTTTTAAGTATCGGTTGTCATGACAGATTTTTGAGAAAAAAACTAAAGATATGATTTACTATCAAGATATATGCAAAATAAATTTTAACTAATTAGTTTTGTTGTTTTTTATTCATTCGTTTCTATCGTATATTTACAGTTTAGACCAATTCGAGCGGGTTGAAAAAATATTTGTTAGAACGACATATCATACAGAAAAGAATGAAAACGGACAGAGAAATCTCCTATAAGAAGAAAAAAACGTGTTAAGTACAAAAAAAACAATTTTTTTTTCTCATTTATATTAACTGCGTAGGAAGTACTCGTAAATAAAAAATTAGGTTAAGAGAAAATGCCCGACGACCATCATTCCTTTTTTTTCTACTTCCATAAAAGTTGTTCTCACTTTCTTCAAGAAAAGATTCATTTTTTTTAGTAATTAATATTTATTCAATATGAAATACATAATTATATTGTTTTTACTGAATATTATCAGAGAATCTGATTTACAAAACTTACATACACTGTTATTGACGAAAATAAATGATGTCCGATACCAATGTGCCAATTTTAGTTGTTCACCCTCTACGATTAAATTTGTTTTCAATATTAAGGGTTGTCATATGGCTTGTTTAACTTCTGACAATTGTCGTACAATCACGTATGCTAAATCCACTAGTAGTTGTGAACTATTTATTGATACTCCAAGCGAATATGGTAGTTTAGTAGCACAAACAGGTTATGTGACCATGATTGCCGTCGATGATCGACAACTACCAGGTCGTAAGTAACAATAACAGATATTTTTTCAAAAGAAAATTTAGGGTGAAACAAATAAGTTTTTTCAATTTGAAATACTTAGGGGATAATATTAACTTGGTAAAAATCACTGACAAATCAACAATATAATAGAATTCAAAATGACTGTTTGCAGAGTACCTCTCATCTCAACAACTAGAAACTAGCTAGCAAAGAAATATTCATTAATTGTGAATCAACATTTTTTTACATGAATATATTCTTTTTGTTTAAGGTCTTTTGATACAGTCCCTGTTTGAAGATTAGAACTAATTCTCTTAAATACATATTTAAACTTTGTCTATGTTCGAGTACAAGTCATACAACTAATACTGAGTAAAGGTTTTGAAGTTTCTTATGTATTATGCAATACTTTCACTATACGTCCTATTTCATACTTCACTGAGTAACTATGTTTGATACCTCACTAAAATTTTCTTTACCATCTTTTTAGCATTGTTTCCTCTCCATGGTATTACGGTAGCAGGGCACAGTGATGGAGCGTCAGGAAATGCAAATAACGCCCTAAAAAATCCGTGGGGATTGGTAATTACCACGAACAATCTGCTTTACGTTAGTGATTTAGGTAATTATAGAATAATGAAAATGAAAATAGGAAATCTAACAGGATCAATGGTCGCTGGTTCAGGAGTATCAGGTGGCACTGCGACTACTTTCTATTATCCAGCAGAAATTGCTGTCGATGCAGCTTCAAATATATATATTGCCGATACTAGCAGTAACAGAGTGATGTTATGGCGTAACAACTCATCGTCGGGTGTTATAGTAGCAGGCAATGGCACTTCCGGAAGTTCAACCACGCCACTTAATGCTCCAATTGGGTTGGCTGTCGATTCGCTGGGAAACATTTATGTCGCTGATAGTAATAATCATCAAGTAATGAAATGGGCAGTGAACGCAACTTCTGGTATAGTCATAGCCGGTGTAACAGGTATATCAGGTAGTGATTATCAACATCTTAATAAACCATATGGATTGTATCTTGACGAAAGTAATTCTTATCTGTATATTGCTGATTATTACAATTATCGAATTCAACGATATCGTGTGGATATACCATCCAATGGTACCACAGTTGCAGGTGGAAACGGAGCTGGGACTGCCAGAAATCAGCTTAATGGACCATACGATGTATGTGTTTCGAAGAAAACAGGTGATATTTATGTTGCTGACAAAAAAAATCATCGAATTCAACGTTGGAGTGTTGGAGCAACTAGTGGAGTAACTATTGTAGGTACTACTGGAGTAAGCGGCATTAATGCGACGCAGCTCAATGGACCTGCTAATGTTATCTTGGATATGAATGAAACATTCTTATATGTGAGTGATATAGACAATAACAGAGTACAACAATATCAACTCCCATAATTAATTTATTGTACTACGGATTAATTTTGAACACTAGTTACTTAAATATAGAAAAATACACTCATATTTTAATCTCCTTCTAATCATAAAGAAAATGTATTTTTTTTTGTTTCTTTAAATAAATAAAAGAGAATAATTTAATATGTTTCGATTGAACTATTGATCAGTAATTGAGGGTACGGATGAAGATGAAGAAAAGACAATCATACCACTTCATCAAATATTACTACTTATTCATGTTTTGATGTGCATAGGGTCATTGAAGCAGTATTCTAACATTTATACACTACTGTTCTCATAAAATGATTACTCATGAGTCTATCTAAATATCGTTGAGTCAATAATAGTGATGCGAAAATGATAATCTTAATTTATGAAATATTGTATGAGAATGAACCTATCTTCACCAAAAGATGAAGAATATTTAGAAATAGTTGCAAATTTTCGACAATTTTAAGAAGTATATATTGTCTACTCTAATTTTTCGCTCACTACACACATTGCTAAGATAAAAAATAACTCAAATTTATCATATTGAGACTGTGAGTGGATACGGTGTGTGTTTAACAAAGAGAATATTTACACCGACACCGTATTTTATTGCAGAATTTTGTATAAATTAACAATTGCGATATATACATATATGTATTTTCTGTTATTTATTGTTGATGACAATATTTTTCTATTGAAAATGTAAATAAAACAGATTTATTAAAAACGTCTTATATTTCTTGTGTTAATATTTGTTTACCTATATGTATTCTAAAAATAAAAATAAAAAATGCGTTAGTTATTTACGAGCTTTTTTTAAAGTCTTAAACTTATAATTATTATGGAAGACAAAAGTTTGTCAACGTTTAAATAATAAATAAAGACTGCAAATAATCAACTCTATTTGAACATCTTAAAAAAAAGGTTACTGATTACTTTGTTTTTAATATCATTGTACCTTTTTATAAAATCAATTTTGACGATAATATATAGATTTCGGGTAAAATATTTATAAGATTATTGTATTATGTTTATTACCAGATAAATTAATATTAGAAGATAAGAAAATGAAGAGTATATCTGTGATAGGAATTGAGAGGAAATCTTCTGATAAACAAAATAGAATTTGAAATTTTTTCTTGATTAAAATCATACTGAAAAGGAAAACAGATGACTTTCGTAGAGAGTGTGAGTAGATTTATTTACTCGTAAAATCACACCCACATCCAGAATGTATATTATAATCGTAAAAGTGCTTTAGGATAAGTTAGATCAAAGTTTGTGAAAAAGAAAGAATAGATTGATTCACTTTTCTACCAACAAATTACAACACGTTCAATCGACCCCAGATAGCAGATATTAATTAACTCCATCATGATTACATAAACCTGTTTTTGAATCAAGGGAACGATGCGGATCTCGCCGTATGCAAGTTTTTTTTTAACAAATTAGAAATTTTTCTTTGTTATTTCATGGAAACATTAAATAAATTTTCTAATTAATACAGATGTGCAATACCCGAGATGCTCACAGCATATATTTCTGTGCCTAAAACACGCTAGTTTAGTAGTTTATTTGGATTAAACTGAGCAAAAAATGATTTGAAACTCAAGGTATTAAATATATTTAAAAAATGAACTGAATCAGATGTGATATCTATTGAACCTTAAAGTAAAATTATATTTTCTTCTATTTGCCACCGAAATATTGCTTTGAATTCAATAATTTGATATCGATGTGTCAAAATGTTTGTATACATTTTATTTTACATATATACGAGCATAGAATAATGAGTGAAATTCACAATTGTTTCTCACGGATGTTTGAATAAAAGCTCTATTAATATGTTCTGATGCTTTTTTCAATACTCAAATAAAATAATAGCAAACTAGTAGTACTTATCATTACAGAGTGCATTATGAAAAGTGTTTGAAAAACTATATCCATTAAAAAAAATATTCAATATTATTTTATATTTTTAGTTCGAAGTATATGCAATTTAGCGATCTCTTCGTAAAAACTCATTATCATACTTCATATGTTGAGATGTATTATAAATGTGTTATTGTTTGTTTTAAGTATCGGTTGTCATGACAGATTTTTGAGAAAAAAACTAAAGATATGATTTACTATCGAGATATATGCAAAATAAATTTTAACTAATTAATTTTGTTGTTTTGTGTTCATTCGTTTTCATCGTATATTTATAAAATGGATAGAGAAGTAACTATGAGAAGAAAAAAACTACTGAGAGTACAAAAAAAACAATTTTTTTTCCTCATTTATATGAACTGCGTAGGGGGTACCCGTAGATGAAAAAAAAAGGTTAAGAGAAAATGCTCGACGACCATCATTCCTTTTTTTTCTACTTCCATAAAAGTTGTTCTCACTTTCTTCAAGAAAAGATTCATTTTTTTTAGTAATTAATATTTATTCAATATGAAATACATAATTATATTGTTTTTACTGAATATGATCAGAGAATCTGATTTACAAAACTTGCATACACTGTTATTGACGAAAATAAATGATGTCCAATATCAATGTGTTGACCTTAGTTGTTCACCCTCTACGACTAGATTTGTATTCAACATTGGAGGTTGTCATATGGCTTGTTTAACTTCTGGTAACTGTCGTACAATCACGTATGCTAAATCAACCGGTCTTTGTCAATTATTCGTTGATATCCCAAGTCAATATGGTAGTTTAGTAGCACAAACAGGTTATGTAACTTTGACTGTCATCGATGCTCGAAGACTATCACCTCGTAAGTAACAATAACAGATATTGTTTTTAAAAGAGAGTTTAGGATGAAACAAATAAGTTTTTTTCAGTTTGAAATATTTAGAAATGTACTATAGATAAAGTTAAGTGATAATATTAACATGATAAAAATTACTGTTTGCAGAGTATCTCTCATCTCAATAACTAGAAACTAGTTAGAAAAGAAATATTCGTTAATTGTGAATCAAAACTTTTTTTACATGAATATATTCTTTCTATTTAAGCTCTCAGTGTCCATTAGTAGCGAAATCTCAATTAGATAAATTTCTCAGATAATTGATTTTCAGATCAAAATTGGAGATTAATTACTTTTCTAAATGTTTTTACCAATTTATACGATCTTTCGATACAATCCCTGCTTGAAAATTAGCACTAATTCTCTTAAATACATATTTAAACTTTGGCTATGTTCGAGTACAAGTCATATAACTAATACTAAGTAAAGGTCTTGTAGTTTCTTATGTATTATGCAATATTTTCACTATACGTCCTATTTTATACTTCACTGAGTAACTATGTTTGATACCTCACTAAGATTTTGTTTACCATCTTTCTAGCATTGTTTCCTGTCCATGGTGTTACGGTAGCAGGACACAGTGATGGGACGTCCGGAAATACAAATAACGCTCTGACAAATCCTTGGGGACTGGCAATTACCACGAACAATCTGCTTTACGTTAGTGATTTAGGTAATTATAGAATAATGAAAATGAAAATAGGAAATCTAACAGGATCAGTTGCTGCTGGTACAACAGGAGTATCAGGTAGCACTGCGACTACTTTCTCTTATCAAACAGAAATTGCTGTCGATGCAGCTTCGAATATATATATTGCTGATACTAACAATTGCAGAGTGATGTTATGGCGTAATAACTCATCATCTGGCGTTGTTGTAGGAGGCAATGGCACTTGTGGAAGTTCAGCCATGCTGATTGCTCATTCAGTTGGGTTGGCTGTCGATTCGCAAGGAAACATTTATGTCGCTGAGACTGATAATCATCGAGTAACGAAATGGGCAGTAAACGCAACTTCTGGTGTAGTCATAGCCGGTATAACAGGTGTGTCAGGTAGTGATAGTCAACATCTCTATTCCCCATATGGATTGTATCTCGATGAAAGCCATTCTTATCTGTATATTGCTGATTATTACAATTATCGAATTCAACGATATCGTATAGATATACCATCCAATGGTACCACAGTTGCAGGTGGAAACGGATATGGATCTGCCAGTAATCAGCTTAATCAACCATACGATGTATGTGTTTCGAAGAAAACAGGTGATATTTACATTGCTGACAAAGCTAATCATCGAATTCAACGTTGGAGTGTTGGAGCAACAAGTGCCATCACTATTGTAGGTACGACTGGAGTAAGCGGCACTAATGCGACGCAGCTCAATGGTCCTTCTAATGTTATCTTGGATATGAATGAAACATTCTTATATGTGAGTGATATAGACAATCACAGAGTACAACAATATCAACTCCCATAATTAATTTATCGTACTACTGGTTAATTTTGAACACTAGTTACTTAAATATAGAAAAATACACTCATATTTTAATCTTCTTCTAATCACAAACAAAATGTATTTTTTTTGTTTATTTAAATAAATAAAAGAGAATAATTTAATATGTTTCGATTGAACTATTGATCAGTTGTTGAGGGTACCAATGTGAGTACGGATCCGGATGAAGAAAAGACAATCATACCACTTCATCAAATATTACTACTTATTCATGTTTTGATGTGCATAGGGTCATTGAAGCAGTATTCTAACATTTATACACTACTGTTCTCATAAAATGATTACTCATGAGTCTATCTAAATATCGTTGAGTCAATAATAGTGATGCGAAAATGATAATCTTAATTTATGAAATATTGTATGAGAATGAACCTATCTTCACCAAAAGATGAGGAATATTTAGAAATAGTTGCAAATTTTCGACGATTTGAAGAAGTATATATTGTCTACTTTAGTTTTTCGCTCACTACAGACCTAATTAAGATAGAAAATAACTCAAAATCACCATGCATCGTGAGGGTAGGTGTGGGTTTGATAAAGAGAATATTTACACCGACACCCAATTTTATTGCAGTATTTTGTATAAATTAGCAACTGCGATATATACACATATGTATTTTCTGTTATTTATTGTTGATGACAAAAGTTTTCTATTGAAAATGTAAATAAAACAGATTTATTAAAAACGTCTTATATTTCTTGTATTAATATTTGTTTACCTATATGTATTTTAAAAATAAAAACAAACAAAGGACGTTAGTTATTTGCGAGCTATTTTTAAAGTCATAAACTGATAATTATTATGGAAGACAAAAGTTTGTCAACGTTTAAATAACTAATGAAGACTGCAAATAATCAATTCTATTTGAACGTCTTAAAAAAAAAGATTACTGATTATATTCTTCTTAATATTAATATGCCTTTTTATAGAAGCAATTTTGACGATAATATATAGATTTCGGGTAAAATATTTATAAGATTATTGTATTATGTTTATTACCAGATAAATTAATATTAGAAGATAAGAAAATTAAGAGTACATATATGATAGGAATTGAATGGGTATCTTCTAATAGATAAAATAGAACGTTGATTTTTTTCTGATTAAAATCATGCTGGAAAGGAAAACAGATGACTTTCGTAGAGAGTGTGGGTAGGTTTTATTTACTCCTAGAATCACACCCACATCCAAAAAGTATATTGTAACCGTAGAAGTGCTATAGGATAAGTTCGATTAAAGTTTGCGAAAAAGAAAGAAAAGACTGATTCACTTTTCTACCAACAAATTACAACATGTTCAATCGACTCGACAAAAATAGATATTAATTAATCCGATTATGATTACATAAACCTGTTGCCGAAACTAGAGAACGATGCGGACCTCGTAGTATGCAAGCTTTTTAACAAAACAAAAATTGTTTTTTTGTTATTTCATGGAAACATTATATAAATTTTCTGATTAATACCGATGTGTAATATCCGAGATGCTCACAGCATATATTTCTGTGCCTTAGACAAACTAATTTAACAATTTGTTTGGATTGAACTGAAGCAAGTGTGATATCTATTTAAAAACTTGAAGTAAAATTATATTTTCTTCTATTTGTCACAGGAATATTGATTTGAATTCAACGATTATTCTAACTGATTTCAATCATCTGATACTGATATCTTAAAATAATTGTACATATTTTATTTTACATATATACCAGCATAGAATAATGAGTAAAATTCATAATTTTTTCTCAACGATGTTTGGATAAAAGCTCTACTAATATATTCTAATGCTTTTTCCTACCCTCAGATAAAATAATAACACATTAGTCGTACTTATCATTAAAGAATGCATTATATCCATTAACAAAAATATTCAATATTATATTAAACTTTTAACTAAAAATATATTCAATTTGACGACGTCTTCGTAAGAACTCTTTATGATACTTCATATGTTGTAATGTATCACTAATGTGTTCTTTTTTTGTTTTGAATACAGGAAGAAGCAGTAGAATATATCAATAGAAGGTTTTATAGTACATTTTTGAGAAAAAAACTAAAAATACGATTTAATGTCGATATATGTGCAAAATAAAGTTCTAAAGAAAAATGATTTTAGATTTGTATCTAATATATTCACATTTAGTAATTGTTTATTCTTGTGAAAATTAATAAAAAAGTGCTGAGAGTACAGAAGACAATTTTTTTTCTCATTTATATTAACTGCGTAGAAGGTACTCGTAAATAAAAAAAAAGTTAGAGAAAATACTCGACGACCATCATTCTTTTTTTTTACTTTAACAAAAGTTGTTATCTCTTTCTTCAAGAAAAGATTCAGTTTTTTATTAATTAATATTTAATCAACATGTAATATATAATGGTGTGAGTGTGAGTGTAAGTGAAGAAGCGATATTCGCACCGTCACCCAGCTTGAAATATTCATTTAAATCATTCAACAATAAATAGAAGAGTTAAAAATTAGAAATTACATTACACATTAATTCGTAAAGAAGAAAACACCATAAAATCATATATATGTAGAAATAGGGGAACGATTATGTCATCTGTTCGCTTATAGTAGTCATCAATAATATTTGAAAATGTTCTAACTTGGATGTTAGATATTTGACACTCTCATTTCTTTATTAAGTAATAGAATGAAAATGTGTCCTTGTTACATGACATTTTAAAATCTATTAGTAGAATGTTACTGAATAATAGAATTAAGTTTGTAAATTAGGATCAGTTAGCTAACAGAACACCGATATTGTCTGCACCATAGTTTGCTACAATAATATCAGGTTTGCTGTCATTATTGATATCGGTTACTGATACAGATCGCGGTTGTGAACTAGTTCCAGTTGAACAAGTTGTTTGAGGAAGAAAAGTACCATCACCGACGTTGTAGAGAACACCAACGTTGTTCGCATTATAGTTGGCGACAATAATGTCAGGTTTGTTGTCGCCGTTGATATCAACTGCTGCGACAGACATTGGACCTGAGTTAGTTCCAGTTGAATAAGTTGTTTGAGGACCAAATGTGCCATTACCGAAGTTAAAGAGAACACCGATGTTGTTTATACCATAGTTTGCGACGATAATATCCGGTTTATTATCATTATTGACATCAACTATTGATACAGACCGTGCCTTTGAGTTATTTCCAGTTAAATAACTTGTAATAGGATGAAACGTTCCGTTGCCGAAGTTTAAAAGTACACCAACGCTGCCTTCATTTAAATTTGCAATTATAATATCGCGCTGACCATCGGCATTGACATCGACGAGTACCACTGAAGTTGGACCTGTGTTATTTCCAGTTGAATAAGTTGTTTGAGAACGAAATGTTCCATTACCGAAGTTAAAGAGAACACCAACATTTCCTGAATATTGATTTGCGACAACGATGTCTGGCTTATTATCATTATTAACATCAGCTGCTGCTGCAGATGGTGGATATGAAGGACTTCCAGTTGAATACGTTATTTGAGAAAGAAATGTGCCGTTACCAGCATTGAAAAGAACACCAACACCGTTTCCACCATTGTTTGCGACAATAATATCAGGTTTACTATCACTATTGACATCCACTCCTGAGACGCGTTGTGGATCTGACCCACTTCCAGTTGAATAAGTTGTTTGAGAACGAAATGTGCCATTGCCGAAATTGAAGAGAACACCAACCATATTTTGATTATAAAGTGCGACGATAATGTCAGGTGTGGTGTCGCTATTGACATCAGTCATTGACAAAGACATTGGGCCTGACCCACTTCCAGTTGAATAAGTTTTTTGTGCAGTGAATGCCATATTGCATGGAACTATTGTAAAACAAAAAGGTATTCTTTGCTTCTGTAAATTGATACAAACGTAACATATTATCAGAGCCGATAGGTTAGAGAAGGCGGTGCCACTCGATATCAAAAAAATTTGATCACTTGAATTAAGTCCTATTTTCTATTGCTACATTCTCCGTCAAATAAGCACATGATACCTCAAATTTTTTCTTACAAGAACTTAACTTCATTCCATCTCGAATACAGTCAGCTGTACAAATAGTGTAAGAACATTCTTCACAAAACTTGGATAGATGTCTCGTAGCAGAATCTTCTTGCTTCAAATTTATATTAGTAGACAACTTTTGTAAAAATATAGTTCTATCATTATGGAAAGTGTTTTTGTATGTCTGTTTATGGCGGTACTTCTTTCATCTGGAAGCACGATTCCGATCAGATATTTCATTCATCTCTAGTAGGGAAGATTTTAGGCAAAAAAAATCGCCTACGGATAGCATTCTATACGTCAAGATAGTCCAAAGGTGAGTGTGAAAATGTAGATATTTCATCTATCGTTTGTTCTGAAGATTAAAAAAGCTAAACTTACTTGGTGTTGCAGTGGTAGTGCTTGCTGCGGTGGTAGTGCTTGCTGCTGCGGTGGTAGTGCTTGCTGCTGCTGCGGTGGTAGTGCTTGCTGCTGCTGCGGTGGTAGTGCTTGCTACAGCGGCGGTGGTAGTACTTGCTACAGCGGCGGTGGTAGTGCTTGCTGCTGTTGTAGTAGTAGAGCCATTCGACATAGTAACTACAAAATTAAAGATAAAAATAGACAACTATTGTATCAACAGATATTTTCACAATGAATGTCAAGAACTCAATGCGCCTATCGGTATATAATTCATTAAGTTCAAAAAAAATTGTTGTATTCTTTGTTATCAGATCCAAAAGTACGACATTTTCTTGTACCTTTCGGTTATATATGATCTATAATAGTCGTGTATCATTCTTTTAAATATTACATATTCTTCAATTTCTTATAAAAATGATTTCGATTCCTAACATCTATTATTTAGTTACTTGATAATAGTTTTCTGTCTTTTTAAGATAAAATAGTCAAAAATATTCTCTCACCGTTGTACTTACTCTTTTGAAAGTCATAAACTATTGCATTACTTGAGACGATCAGATGCGTTGGTATTACTGTCTCACCGAGAAGTAGGCATTGAGGAACAGCTGAACTATCAAATACTGCTGTATTACAACCGACAACATAATGTGCACATTGTAACGCACAAAATAATTTTTTGTTAATAGTTAAACCAAAGAGTAAAGAGTTTGTTGAATTATAACTCATTCCATTATAAATATGACCAATCGCTATAAATGAATTGTCAGTCGCATAACTATTGATAAGATACGAGATCCACAATACACGCAGAAAAATCATCTTAACAACAAAATAATATCGATTTTACGTCTGTGTAGTTAAAAACTTTGATTGCAGCTAATGCTCAAATACGATTCAAACTAATGTTAATATTTTTCAATAGTGTAAATATTTTTTTCTATTTTCTTTTTACTAAGTGAAAAACATTTTACTTTTAATGAACATATTGGTTGAACTTATCACATGTCTAACAACTAAATGACACTCGAAAGATGCATTAAAAATGAAATATATCAGTAAGCAATTTTGCACTTAGAACAATTGTTTTTCTAACACAATCGTTTATCGTCATGTGCACTAATTATATTCATTAAAGTTGTTTTTTAAGTTTTGAATAAAATATGAATTATCTCAAATCATTAGAATAATTCAAAAACAAACAAATTCCTGTTAGACATGATTAGAAGTCTTGATGAATTGTTTCCTCGACTACGGTGAATAGTCATATAAAATGAAAGTTTAACTGAAGATTTCTGGAAATGAGAAATCGAGTAGTACGAGTCATTTTCTAAAATTTCCAGGTTTGATTTCTTAGATACGAGAAGGCTTTTTTTAACAAAATAACGATATTTTTATAAAGTTTGACCATGTTGAGTATGGGTGTGAGTGTGAATGGTGTGTGTCGATTTTAGCCTCATACACCCACACCCTCAAGATTGTTAGATTCCTTCCTTACACATTTAGTAAATATATCAAAAATTATCTTCACTATGTTCATATAGCTTGTTGAATTGGAAGAATAATATTTTCACTATTTTTCTTCATATAGTAAAGCAAAGTATTTGTTTTAATGATTTGGTTGACTATCAAACACTTTCTTTTCTATCATAAAACATAATTTTTTGTATAAAACTACATCATAGGTGAAAGAAAGAAGAAGAAGAAGAAGAAAAAAACGTGTATGTATATATCTACGACAACAAAAAATGCTCATGTATTTTGTTTCTGTCAATAACAAGAACGACAAATATGTCAATCAAACGATACAAAATAAAGATTCATCTGTATCTATTTTGATTATTCATGTAATATCTTTCAAAAGAGAAAATAATTAGGAAGTAAATGTGTTTCGTCTAAATATTTGAGATTTTATTTTTCTCGAGTTTTGAAATGTATACGTAGAATAATTTATCTCTTTCAATATTTTTCCTAATAAATACTATTGAATAAAACATCGAAGAAAATCGTTTCAAGACGAACATTAAAATAATGTAGTAGTTTATAAACCAGAATTAATGGCTGTTCTAATAAAATATTACAGTAGTCGATATGAATCTTCTAGATAGTAATTTAGTTTATATAAGTTACAAAAGAATATTTATAAAAAATAAGCAATTCTTCAATAATGTAATTATTTATTCTTTTATTTAGCATAAAATATCCGTTGACAATGACTTCAATTTAAAAATAATTAAAAACTCGAAATAATACTTTTTTTCTTCTTAATATTTATATATTGAACCATTTCGTTATATATTATGATATCGAAATTAATAATATTTACATTGATAAAATAGGAAATCATATAATGACTGATATTATCAATAATTCAATATTACTGGCTCTTACAAGAATCAAATGCATAAATAACAAAATAAACACATTTTCTTCTTTATTATTACAAAACCATTTTGAAACCGAATGGATCAAGCGAGAAGAAGAATATTTTCTTTATCCACTAAGTCATTTTATTTTGAAAAACTAGCTATTCATATCCATTCTATTTAGATACAAATAGGAATGAGAGAGAGATGAACAGAAGAAAATAAGGAGAAGAAAGAGAGTGATCGAAATGAATACTTCTTACTTCTTGTCAAAGCGAAGAAAAATAAAGAAGATGCTGTGATACACCTTCTTTTTAATTGTGTAAGAAGTAAACAAAAATGTAGAATAAAATAAGAAAACGAAAGATGTGAACGAACAATATGATGGTCATGTGCGAAATAGAAGTGAGAGAAAAAGATCAAAAATGTTAATTTAACAACAGCAAACCTTGGCACATGATCTTTTGACGGTGACAGTTTTCTTTCGGATGACTTTGCAACATGGTTTGCAGCAGCACACAGTTTTAGTTACACAACATTTTGGACCATAGAAGCAACAATCACAACAGCAAGGATCGCAACAAGAGCAACAACAAGGATTACAACAGCATGAACCACAACCGCAGCCACACCCACACTCACCCACACAGTCAATGATCTTTTCCATGTAGCACAAGATGTTCTCGCGCAATCCATAACCACTTCTATGAATTGCTCCTCAAATGAACAACAAATCACCAAGTCTTATACTATAGGAGAAAAGGAAAATACACTGGAGTTACATTTCCACATAAGTATTGGACTGGGAAAATGGTCGGCCCGGAATTGGTCGTTTATTATTGGACTAAGGAAAGTTGAGATGGATGATGTGGCGAGACACGAGCGAGTTATTGCTGATCTTTGCCGACGTATCGAACGACTAGAAGAGCGACTGGTGCCATCATTGGATTACATTCGATCTTTGTCTGATGTCAAATTTTGTGTATCGACCAGTCCTTATCCGACTTTCAATTTATTAAACAACAATAAAACATGCACTGCTATACAGAATACAAACGTTGGCATCGGTGGTGAATCAAGTGTCGATCAAACGTTTGCGTCAACCGCTAATGATGATACATCGAAGATTACCTTCAAGTGCACTGCTGGATCGACGCAAACTGTCCGTGTTGGTGTTAAAGTGAATATGACATCGAACAGCCACACTGTCAGTTCGGCCAGTAGCAAAGATGCTTGGTTCTTTTATCTGCACACAGGATGTTGTCAAAATGGATCGTATACTCAGATGCCGTATCAAGGTCCAGTAATGTTAAACCAAACAATTAGTATCGTCGTTGATCTAAAAAAGAAGAAGATCGCGTTTGTGATTGACGGCGATACTGACATCTGGGCGTTCAAAATGCCGAAGGGACAGAGATGACCCAACTCCGTGCTTTCATTGTAATGCACGTGAATGGGGATACAATAACTATTGTCGAGGAATGATCCCGATATAAACAAACATAGACTAAAACGTATTTTAATCATGTTCTTTCTAAGAGTTTAATTTGTATTTTTCTTTTTTTTTCGCTGCAACTATATGAATCAAAACACGAATGGATGAGAATATTTATGAAAGAACTCCATCAACTAATCAAAAGCTTCAAGGCTTATATTCTGGTCATACGTAGGATACAGTGATACTAGAGAAACTTTAAAAGGATTTCTACCCAAAGATATTTATAGCTTAGGTGTGGGTGTGACATAGTTTTGTATTCATTCACACCCTAAAGATGCGGACAGAAACTTGATGTTTTTCAAGTTCCACTCGATTTTTATTGTAATTAAATGAACTTGGTTTAATTAAGTTTTGAATAGATTCAGCCTAAAAGAAGTCAAAAACAATTGATTTGAAATTAATTAATAGTATGAAAATGGAATAAAACTTGAAAAACGCTAGATTTCTATTCAAATCACATACGAGTAATAAAATATATTTGAATGTTTTTCAACAAATTACTGTATTAGAAGACTAATTATATATTACACCTTTAACTAGTATCATCAACTATATATGATATAAATATGAGATGTAATCGACAATCTATAAGATAGATATCGAGAAAATACTGTTTTTCCTGACTGATGGTTCATCCGACATGTATTTTTAAAAAAATAAAAATGCTTCAAAATACAAATCAGAGATTTTCAAATGTTTTTCTACTATTCTTTATACCATATAGATAAAATAGGAAAAATAATTAAAATATTGAACTTTTCTTCTTATTATTTTTTCTATTAGAAAAAAAAAAACTATTAATATTATAAATATATATAATTATTTTAGCAATTGAAAATTCGTTTTGATTTATAAATTAAAATAATTTTTATCATTTTATTGCTGAATTTTGTATCAATTAACAATAACAAAATATCTCTCTGTTATTGCTTATTAATGATAAAAGCTTTCTGTACTGCCAGGGTAAATAATATAGATTTATTAAAACCATCTTATAGTTCTTGTAGAAGGATTGCTTCTCTTATATTATTATTTGTTTACCTACATGTATTTTTAAAATAAAAATAAAAAAGTGCGTTAGTTATTTGCGAGCGCTTTTTAAAGTCATAAACTGATATTTATTATGGCGGACAAACGTTTGTCAACGTTTAAATAACTAATGAAGACTGCAAATAATCAATTCAATTTAAACGTCTTAAAAAAAATGGTTACTGATTATATTATTATGCCGTTTTATAAAATCAATTTTGACGATAATATATAGATTTCGGGTAAAATATTTATAAGATTCTTCTATTATGTTTATTACCAAATAAATTAATATTAGAAGATAAGAAAATGCAGAGTATATATGTGATAGGAATTGAAAGAGTATCTTCTAATAGATAAAATAGAATGTTGATTTTTTTCTGATTAAAATCAGATTGAAAAAGAAAATAGATGACTTTCGTAGAGTGTGTAGGTAGATTTTATTTACTCCTAGAATCACATCCACATCCAGAATGTATATTATAATCATAAAAGTGCTTTAGGATAAGTTCGATTAAAGTTTGTGAAAAACAAAGAATAGATTGATTCACTTTTCTACCAACAAATTACAACATATTCAATCGACCCCAGAAAACAGGTATTTATTAACTCCATTATAATTACATAAACCTGTTACTGAATCAAGGGAACGATGCCGACCTCGTAGTTTGCAAGCTTTTTAACAAAACAATAATTGTTTTTTTATTATTTTATGGCAATATTAAATCAATTTTCTAATTAATACAGATGTGAAATATCCGCGATGCTCATAGTATATATTTCTGTGCGTAAGACAAGCTAATTTAACCGTTTATTTGGATTGAACTGAGTAAAAA